TTTAATCGTCAATATTGTAAATATGCCACAAAACGTTTGCCAAGCACCAAATGCCAGGAAAATAATTTTTGGTGAATAAATAAAACTGAGATGCTGTACTCGCCAGTGAAAATCTAATGGCTTTTAAATGAAATGAGAAACTGTGACATGATTTTGTATGACTGAAATGCATAAATATTCTGCTAATCATTTCTCACTTCTCTTTTACCTCCTTCAGCTGTTTGATCTGATCTACCGCGAGGAGACGCTCTTTAATGTCATCAAGAGTGTGACACGTAATGGCCGCTCTATTCTCCTCACTGCTGTCTTGGCCATCATCCTTGTCTACCTGTTCTCCATCGTGGGCTTTCTCTTCCTCAGGAATGACTTCATCATGGAAGTGGACCGTCTTGCTATCCCAGATACAGGTAAATTGCATACACCTCTTTTTATCTTTGCTGGTGTGTCACAAGGCCGTCTGAATAGTTTTTTGCAGAAAGGCATCAAACCCTGCGTTCATGATAAATTTTAATTACAACACACCATTAAGCAGGTACAGATAACTCTATGAGCAGCTGCAGTGCTGATGGAGTGGAGTGCACAGAGGAAACTGGGTTGGTTGCATCATCAGAAGGTGAGTTTGGCATTAAAGACAATATTTTATATTACTCTACTGGCATCAGAACTCAGCTGTGAACACTTTTTTTAATGTCTTTGCAGAAGAAGAGGACAACACAGAGCGAGCATGTGACACTCTTCTAATGTGTATCGTTACGGTGCTGAATCATGGGCTGAGGAACGGAGGAGGTGTGGGAGATGTCCTGCGCAAACCCTCTAAGAATGTATGGAGACCCACAATCATATAGGAATGTGCGCATGTAGGAATACAAAACCTAACCAAACTAATACAATGTTGTTCAACTTACAGGAGCCTTTGTTCCCTGCTCGTGTGGTGTACGACCTTCTCTTCTACTTCATTGTCATCATCATTGTTCTCAACTTGATTTTTGGTGTGATTATTGACACCTTTGCTGACCTGCGTAGTGAAAAACAAAAGAAAGAGGAGATACTGAAGACCACCTGTTTCATTTGTGGTAAGAAATTAGATTTAAATATATTTTAAAGTGTTTATTCCTGTGATGGAAAAGCTGAATTTTCAGCATCATGATCATTCAGAAATCATTCTAACATGCTGATTTGCTGCTCAAGAAACATTTCTTATTATTATCATCAGTGTGGTGCTTAATATTTTGTGGAAACTTTTTTATAGATACAAAGTAAATAATAGAAATTTATAAAAGGCATTTATTTGAAATACATTATTTTGTAACAATATTAATGCATTTACTGTCACTTTTGATAGATGTAATGCATCCTTGCAGAATAAAAGTGTTGTTTTTTTTTATCTTACTGACCCCAAACTTTTGAATTTGCATTGATTTATTTTTCACAATTAAGCACATTTCCAACACTGTTTACTGCAATGCAAAATGGATTTTTGTTATATTTTCATTACTGTAATTTTCAAAAAGACACAATTTGAACATTTCTTAATACAGGCTTTATTTTATTTTTGCAAAATATAATTTCTTTATTTGTTGAGTGTGAAAAATGACCCTAGTATTCATTAACAGGCTGTATAACAGTCAAATACAAATCATCAGAGAACATTACAGAAAGGAATTGATCTGTATTTGCATTTCAACAGGTCTCGAGAGGGACAAGTTTGATAATAAGACTGTATCATTCGAGGAACACATTAAATTTGAGCATAACATCTGGCACTACCTCTATTTCATTGTGCTGGTACGGGAGAAAAACAAGACAGATTACACTGGCCCAGAGAGCTACGTGGCCCTTATGATAAAGGTAAATTAATAAAAATGAAACATTCCAGCTGTTTGGATACTGGTCACATTCTATATATTAACAGCAATTACCACTGTTATTTCCAATGTATTATTTCTATGCTTTTATATTATTGATCAATACTTTGAATAGGCTTTTTTCTTTCATTTTATTTGAATGAATTTTTAGTTATTTTGTTATTTCCTTTGGTCATTTTTATTATTATTATTACTATTATTTTTGATATTTCTATTTCGCTTTAATTTATTTAATTCATTCTTGCTTCACCTTGCAATGGGTTTTGATTCAGTCTTGTTGTCGCCTCTTGTTAGAATAAGAACCTGGATTGGTTCCCACGCATGCAGGCCATGTCTCTGGTTGTAACTGAGGGAGATGGAGAACAGAATGAGATGAGGAACCTGCAGGATCGTCTCACCTCCACCATGAAAGTGGTCACACAACTCACAAGCCAGTTAACAGAGCTGAAAGAGCAGGTACATTTATCAATGTCAGCAGCACTGTTTGTCCAGCATTAATAATGTTGGTACATTAAATTGATTAATGTCTCAGATTTTAGATTCTAAAATAACGGTTGTGTATTTGTTCATTTAGATGACCGAGCAGAGGAAGAGAAGGCAGAGGATGGGTTTTGTGGATGTTCAGTCTGGCTCAAACCCTGGGATGCCTATGCCTCCTAGTGCTGCTGGAGGAAATCTTCAGGTCATCAAGACCTAATTTCTCCAGCTAACCTTGCATTGACTTTATAGAAGCAATAATGTAATCCTGTGATGCTGGTGTACTCCCACTGTGGAAAAGTTCTACACTCCCACAAAAGCACTACTGACTAAATCAGGGGTGGCGAACGTCGGTCCTGGAGAGCCGCAGCCCTGCAGAGTTTTGCTTCAACCCTAATCAAACACACCTGAATAAGCTAATCAAGGTCTGAAGGGTTACTAGAAAGCTACAGGCAGGTGAGTTTTAATTAGGGTTGGAGCTGTACTCTGCAGGGCTGCGGCTCTCCAGGACCGGAGTTCGCCACCGCTGGACTAAATAGTCATTCTTTGAGGGGCCTTTGATTACCTGAATGGTTTTAGTATGCAAACGTTTTATATATTTAAAGTATGTAATTGTTTTGTTTTTATTTTTCTAAGCAGTTTTTGGTTAAGATATTTGAAATCTTCTTTTCAAGACTCTTGTTTGATGTATGAATAAATGTAGCATTACTGTAAGTAAAGCTGATGAGTTTTAGATAGATAATGAGTAATTGTAGATCAATACAGTCGGATGGTTTGTTTTAATGTGCACTGATGAGTTTGTACATGCTGTATTTATAGGGATAGTCATGATGAACTGGCTTGATATGATTGTGAGATGATTTGGGAAACATGAAGGGGAATATCATGACCATTCTTATGATGAACTAGAAGATGCTAACATGTCACTAGAGTCGAATCTGGGTAGTATAAATGGCATAATGTATAGAAGTGTGTTTAAAGTTCATACAGCTTTAATTTAAAAGTCAAAGTGCCTAAAAATGCATCAAAAGAACATAACTTTTGCTCAGGAAACTAACATGTTCCTTATTTATCTTGTCATAAAAATAAGTGAGGACATGCTGATCGTGGTTTTAATAGACATAGATCTATGAATGTGTCTATTTAATTATTTATTGTGCGACCAGGACTAAGTTGTAAGTCCGTTGCATTTTTATGGCCACAAAAAGAATGCTGGAACATACTTATATTTTGGCTTCGTTAATAACAGCCAGTGTGTAATTAATCATATTGACATCAAATAATCATCAATTTATTGCTATTATTGCTAATATGTTGATATGAAGTGCCTCACCAACTTTACACAAAATACTAAATAAAACATTTGGTTATTTGACGTCTTGTATCATTTAACATTAAAAGACTTAAAAGAATCGAATGAGTGACATTACTACGATATTACTATAATAAAATGTTACAAAAATCAATAGAAATTCGATTAATTTGAAACATTGCAATGACTTTTTATCCTTTTCCAAACAAAATAAATATCTTCCAAATGAAACAAAGTAAACAGTCGCGTGAATGTCCATTGATTTGTCTTGTGTCAGATTACGTCCCTCTGTCACGCACACTTCACAGTATTAGGGTGTGAGCGGAGTGACTGGCGGGATCAATTCCTTCGCTGTTCGTTTGAGCGTCAGGTGCCGTTCAGAAGTTCGTCCTCAGTGCAGGTCAACAGGTAGGCTAATGTTTTTCAGAATATTAACGCAATATTTACATTTAAACAATGTGTATCAAATAAATTTACAACGAATAGGCTGTAAGCTAAAACAGGTAAAACGTCACTCTGGACATGGGAATTGCGGTTATGTAAATGAGCTAGGAATACTTTATTCCAACAGATAGAAGATCAGTCTCAGAAATAAGGCTAAAGTCATTTGTTACACTTCTTTCTTTTGTTTTATAGAAATATAGAAATGTTTATTTTTTTATCCTTTTTTGATACTGATAAGTGAAGTTTAATGAACCTCAAACCACTTGAATAGGAAAACCACATCTTGCTACCACAACTATTAGACCTCTGAAAGATAGGCTATATAGGAGTTTGTGTGTGTATTTATTATATATTCTAATATATAATAAAATATTATGTAGGCTAATGTATTATTACAATACAGGCCTATAATTGTTTGTTGTTGTTGTTATTGTTGTTATTAACAAAAATGTCATCTATAGGCTACTGTAGCCTAATATCAATTAACTCTTTCGACTCTTTCGTTTTTGTTGGCCAATAATAATACTTTTTACGTTTAGCCTATACGTTTTATAAGGTTGATACTTTTCGGTACGTGTAATCTAGCTTTTATCAACGTAAGTGACGTCAGTGTTTTAACTTTGAGAACGGAGTGCTGAGGAGAGCGAGAGTCTGTGGGTTCCAGATAAAGTGCGGTATCGGCCGCACCCAGGTGCCCCGCGCCCTGAAACCCACTGCTCAAAATTTAGATTAGGGTCACTTTATAGGCTCTTTAAGGACCTAATTATCGATATTACGTAACCTAATGAATAATTTAGCTGGGTATCTTTCTCATAAATCTGTCCTCGACAACGTTGTTACAGTATGGAAAAGTATATTTTTCACACTGACCATCTTTTCCGTTGTTTACAGCTGTTAAAATCATGTCTGCTTTTCTGCATCACTGCCCCTTCTTGAAGTCCACTCCAGGCCCTTCTCTAAGGAATGTGGCAGCGTGCTTTGGATTGGCTGACCAATGTCCAATCATTGTCCGCCAGATCTCTGTAAAACCCACCCAGTCCTCTGAGGAAAAAGGTAATGCTGTTACTTTTGTATTTACCATACTATATTACTGTAAGGTTTTTTATACCAGGTAGGTTACAATATGACTAAAAAATTCCATATTTTTATAATTAAAATCTCATTGACAACAAATATTGCAAGTCAGTAGTCAGTACCTCAGATTATCTTCTTATATTTATGTGCTTATTGTGTTCAGGCCTCCTCTCTCATAAGGAGCCAAAGCGGCAGTTGGTGACCACAGCCACTCAGGTGGCGATCTCCATGTCCCAGAGCTGTCCCTTTATTTCCTCTAAGATTGGACTAGTTAAAGCCAGTCCACAAGTGCAGGAGGATGTCCAGCCCAATCTTGAGAATCAAGATAACTCTGGTAAAACAATCCCTCTCAGTGTGATAGATTCATGGACTGTGGATATGTGTATATATAATGTTTATATTGCTTGAGAAGCAGATATCATGTAGCTGACTGGCTGATGTGTTGCAGCAGCTGTCTCTTTTTTAACCACCACAGTATAATTAGTTCGCTGCTGAAGAGTCTCTTTTATCTGAGCAGTGTATCATGCAGGGGTTGGATGCATTTTACATAATAACACCCAGCTTGGAGGACATTCTCCTCTCTGCAATTTGCACCATTTAACTCCAATTTGAGAGACTCCTCAGCTGTGAATAGTAAGCAGATGATGACTCAGACTGCTGATGTAACAAATGCCAATCTTCAGACAATCACATTACAGATGAAACTTCACAAAGCCGCATGTGTACTAGAAAATAACATCTAATTGGAAAATTGTAGTTTTTGGGTTTCATAGCCATATCACGTTTGACAGTTAATGTGCGTAGCCTGTACTTTAAAGAAAATATATGACTTAAACAATGGCGTTAAATACAAAACACTTTGATTTTCACTCTGTTTTCACACTGAAACAAAGCAAAAATCCTTAATTTTGTGTTTGTTTGATGAATTTCTGACACATTGGTGCCCTTTTTCTCCAGGCTTGATGAGCTCACTGTTCCGTGGCTTGCAAAGTCATCAGTCCACTGGTCCTACACACCTTCTTGAAGACAACTTTAGTGAGTTTGACTGCATTTTTCTTAATGATTTACAGTAGTATAAACCATACACTCTCAGAAAATACCAAATAACAACTTGTCACTGGGGGCAGTACCCTTTCAAAAGATAATAAATATGATATATCGACTTTAGGTACTAATATGTACATTTAAAGTACTAATATGTACCTTTTAAGGTACTATCATTTACGTTATTACTATAGTACTATTTAAGGGGTAAATTAGATACAAAGACTTATAGCTTTTGTACCTTAGGGTATCGCCCCAGTGACATTTTTACCTTTTTTTCTGAGACTGTACTGCTGTTTCTGCAGTATTAAGTACACTGTGAACAGTATGCGTATTGAACATCTATTTATTTGACTTGGACTGCCAAAAGGTACAACATTTTTTTTTTTTTTTTTGAAAATATCTGTGTGAACTAATGGAATAATAATATGGCATAATGTGGAATAATGGATGTTGAGTAAAAGCTAGGTAATTAGCGAATCGATCCGAGACTGTTGTGTTTTGTTACTGTACACTGTATCTGCAGCACTTAAGTAGTGCCTGTCTTCTTTTATTCCTGTCTTTCTTCCTCACTTATTGACTGATGATTGCCCATCTGCTTTTTAAATAATTCAGCCAGACCCAGTTTCAACTACGATGACTTCTTCACTCAGAAGATTGTGGAAAAGAAGAATGACCATACTTACCGTATCTTTAAGACGGTGAACCGTTTTGCAGAGGTTTTCCCTTTTGCTGAGGACTATTCCATCCCTGGACGCTTGGGCTCCCAGGTGTCTGTATGGTGCAGTAATGATTACCTGGGCATGAGTCGACATCCCCGCATTGTCAAGGCCATAGGGTCAGTACATAAAACAGACAATGAAATAAATGTTTGCCATCATATTACATATTACATATTATACATAGAGAAGAACAAATGAAGGTGCAGCAAAATACACTAACTTATAAGTCTTATTAAATACTGTATGTGTATACATTTCATAATATGATAAAACAGTATGCTTTTAAGTTTCTTAATGTTTGACTTTGGATATACATAGCTGCTAAAACAAACTAACTGAGTAATCACAACCTTTTAACGTTTCTTAGAGAGGCTTTGCAGAAGCATGGTGCAGGAGCAGGTGGCACCCGAAATATCTCTGGGACGAGTAACTATCATGTGGCCCTGGAGAGTGAACTGGCCCATCTACACCAGAAAGATGGAGCACTGGTCTTTTCTTCCTGCTTTGTAGCCAATGATTCCACCCTCTTTACTTTGGCTAAAATGCTCCCAGGTATCCAACAAAACTGTTATGACCTGCCTGTTCTTAATGAATGTGTGAATTAATGAATGAATGAAATTTATGAACTATACTGCTATTAAATTAAAAAATATTTTCAATATGCAGTACTGTTCAAAAGTCTGGTGTTGGTAAAATTTTTAATGGTTTTGAAAGAATTATTTGATCAAAAATACACTCAAAAATTATTATAAAATATTATTAAAATAAATGTTTTCTAATTTAAAAATATCGCACTGTTTAATATATTTGTTGAAACTGCCTGACATTTTTTCAAGATTCTTTGATGAATACAAAGAAAAAACAGCATTTATCTGAAATGTTTTGTAACATTGTAAATGTCTTTATTGTCATAATACTTTATTGCATCCTTGTTTAATAAATGTCCAAATAAAGTTCTTAGCAATGCATATTACTAATCAAAAATTCAGTTTTAATATACTTACAGTAGGAAATTTACAAAATATCTTAATGGAACATGATATTTTCTTAATATCTTAATGATTTTTGGCATAAAAGAAAAATCGACAATTTTGACCCATACAATGTATTTTTGGCTATTGCTACAAATATACTTGTGCTATTTATATGTATTTTCTGAAATTCCACTAAAACATCTTCTCTCTGCAAAGGCTGTGAGATCTACTCAGACATGGGTAATCATGCCTCCATGATCCAGGGCATCAGGAACAGTGGGGCCAAACGCTTCATTTTCCGACACAATGATGCCAGTCATCTGGAGGAGCTGCTCAGCCGCTCAGATCCACTCACACCCAAAATCGTGGCTTTTGAGACTGTTCATTCAATGGATGGTAAGTAGAAGGAGCTATCACATGACTGACTCAAAAGAGATTGTTTCTTAGTATTGTAAAATAGGGCTTAGCACTAGCAACGCCATGGTCATGGGTTTGATTCCTAGGGAATAAATTAACCGATATTGTGTAAAACCTTTAATACAATTTAAGGCACTTTAAATAAAACCATCTGTCAAATGCATATATATATATATATAAAATGGTAGGTAACGTGCAGAAATGCAAAAAATTTCTGCAGTAAAAAATAGGGAAAACAAGTGCACTTACTTTCTCCTTATTAAACAATGCAAAAAAATTCAAAAAACATCATACACATGAAATTTTTTTTTTATGTGGAGCGAGTCACCTTATTGGGTGTCCTTTTTTTTAAAATTACATGTCCAGCCAAATACTAATTGCTTTATCTTCGCAACCACCCTTTTATCAGACACTTTGGCTTGTGGAATAAATTAATCATTGTCAACTGATAATAGTGCATTTCTACACTTCATCTTTAACTGAAAAATAACTTGTTTCTCAGGTGCAATTTGCCCTCTAGAAGAGCTATGTGACGTAGCACATAAATATGGAGCTCTGACTTTTGTGGATGAGGTCCATGCTGTCGGACTGTATGGGGCTCACGGAGCAGGTGTAGGAGAGAGAGACAACGTCATGCACAAGATCGATATTGTCTCTGGAACTCTGGGTAAGACAGATACAGTCTATGATTCTATAATTGAATCATTGCATGCATGATCACAGCATGATTCTATCCTGTAATTTCACCCGTGTTCTTGCCTCTCAACTTCTCTGATATTGTTTGAAATATCTGTAGGTAAGGCATTTGGCTGTGTGGGTGGTTACATAGCCAGCACTGCTGCCCTGGTGGACACTGTGCGCTCCTACGCCGCCGGTTTTATCTTCACTACCTCCTTGCCTCCCATGGTGCTGGCGGGGGCTCTGGAATCGGTGCGTGTGCTGAAGAGCCCAGAAGGCCAAGCTTTGCGCAGAGCCCATCAGAGAAACGTCAAACACATGAGACAGCTGCTGCTGGACGCTGGACTGCCTGTGGTCAACTGCCCTAGCCACATCATTCCCATTCGGGTCAGTGTTTGCAAAAACCATTTTGTCCTTAATGGGATAGTTCACCCAAAAATTTAAATTCTGTCATCATTTACTCACCCTCATGTCCTCATTCCAAACTGCTCGATCCATATGTAATTGTTTTATAATGCCTTTATGACCATGCCTTTTTGGATCTACTAAATTTTGGTTACCTGGACTTTCAGTGTAGGGACAGAAACCTCACAGTTGCATTAAAAATATCTTAATCTTAATGTTTCTAAGATTAACCAAAGTCTTATGGGTTTCTGTATTGTTTGCTGTGACTGTTAATGATAAAAAAGAGAATTTGTTTTCACATATTCGTATAAATGTACCACTAAATTTAGTTATTGAGATTTTTGCTAAATTATACATTAATTGTGTGTCCCCTCTGCATGACGACAAACCTGCACATGGGCACTTTTTGGTAGTTTTCTGTTATTGGTATTATTGTATGTATATGTATGCATGCAAGAGTATATTTAATAACAGCTTACACTGAAACTATGCCACATGCTGTCTTCCTGTTTTGGACCATTTGCACCCAAATTGATGAATGTAAAAATGCAATAAATATTGTCAGTTACAACAAAATGCAGCTGATAACTCATTATAACCACTTGGTTACAAATAACAACAAAAGCAGAGGTTATAATTTGTACTCTGAATCTGATATATTTTAATTTAGGGGGAAATTGTAATGCAAAACACCAACAAAACTATAGTCAAATGTGACTTTGCACATAAAATCGTCTTGGACGAGTCACTTTCAATTATAACACCACAATGCCACCTGCCGGACTGTAATGGAAGTGTCACTTACTGAGCTATGAGATCTTATCATTTTGAATACCACTAACAACAACTTTGTACTAAAGTTACTAAATCATATAGGTCAAGTGCATTTAAACCAGGTGTTTATAATATACATTTATTATAGTAATGTATAGAGCAAATACATATACAACTTTATGTGCCGTTTAATATTTTTATGCCACATGCTGTCTTCCTGTTTTGGACCATTTGCACCCAAATTGATGAATGTAAAAATGCAATAAATATTGTCAGTTACAACAAAATGCAGCTGATAACTCATTATAACCACTTGGTTACAAATAACAACAAAAGCAGAGGTTATAATTTGTACTCTGAATCTGATATATTTTAATTTAGGGGGAAATTGTAATGCAAAACACCAACAAAACTATAGTCAAATGTGTCTTTGCACATAAAATCGTCTTGGACGAGTCACTTTCAATTATAACACCACAATGCCACCTGCCGGACTGTAATGGAAGTGTCTACGCGCCCTCTAGCGGCGAAAACTTACATATTGTGCCTTTAAGGTCTCCTAATAATCTTAAAGTTGACATGAAACGGAAGTAGCGACTGCCTTTTTTTCTCTACTGTGACGTCTGTCCGAGTAAAATGGCATCTGAAATGAGAGGGTTAGTTGTGGGGGGATTTCTCTCCACTGGATTCACCGCCGACACCCTAGCATGAAGACATTTTTTATTTATTGAGGAAGACGACGATGAGGACGATCAACGGCACAAAACATACCCAACAGCGCTCGCGCGCGCGTGCGAGAGAAACTGCCTGAATGACTGAGCGTGTCCTCCATCAGGTTAAGTCATATTCATAAAAAAAATAGTTTGCGATGTCCTACGAGTAATGTTGTGGTAATATGCATTAAAAAATAAGAATTTTCAATTTTGATTTCATGGTGACTTTAAGGTCTCGAGACGCGTTCTTTTCCATAGAAAAACAATGGAAAACGTAGCATAGTAGAATAGAAAACAATGTTCTGTGTGAATGGCCCCTTATTGCTACATTTAATTGGCTACACCAATTAAAGTTAATTGTAATCAGAGATTACAAATAATGACTGATGAAAAATAAATAGTCTATCAATAACTCCTTACATTACATCCAGCAACAACACCATCTCCACCAGCGCAGACCATGCTTTGTGTGACCTGAGAGCCCCACCAGTCAGACCTAGAGCAGGTGGTGTAATCCACCACACGCAGGAGAGCCTGCTGCAGGATATCAGCAAGGGGTCCATTGGCTAGTTATTGACAGTGGAAAAAAAAGGTAGGTGAGAAGAAAAGCCAAAAAAAAAGTCTGGATATCTCCTAATCATGCAGTCGGTTGAGTTTAACAGCACAACGTCATCCATAACCATCAACATTACTTACTGTAGAGACGTCCCCAACCAGTGACATAGCAGGGAGCATTGTGGGGCAGAACATGCCTATCAGCAGGCAGACATGTAGGAGTGATAGTGTCACTTGGAGTGACAGCACTCTCCAGTTTGATCAGGGCGATGTCGTTACTGCGGCCCAGACACAACATGAAAATTAAATTCATTGCACAAGTTATTCAAGATATGCATCTCTTTTGTTTGTGAGGAGACTTTTGGCCCCCGTACCAGATAGTGAAGGAATTCCAGCCCTCGTGGACAATGATCTTTCCAGCGGCGATGGCCACAGATCCGTTCTCCTCCTCCTTCAGGTTATGTTTTCCCAGATACACCCTGTAAAAAAAATGTCAACATTTGAGGAATGTTTATTTGTACATCTCTCAATCACGTTTGTATATTTTTGCCAAGAAATAAAACAGTAAACATTACGAAGCTTTGGACGTAAAACTACGCATTTAAATGTCTTCTTACTAAGACACATTATTGGGAGATATATAGACAATGTACAACTTATATTTATTTGTATTTTAATAATAATAATAATAATAATATAATTATATCTAATTATTATAATACTGTTATTGATTGATCTCATTGATTTCTCAAGATTTTTTATGTTAATATCTAAGGCTTCACAGGGTTAACATAGTTTACAATTGGAAAATGTTTTTGAACAAGGGCAGAAATTAAGATTAACTGGACAGTATGTTTTAATAAAAATAATGGAATGTGCATGTACCTGCCAGGGCCAGCTGTTTGGACGGTCTTCCACACCTTCCACAACCCTCGATATAATAGGAGGGTAGGTGGGAAGCCCACATCTGTAAGCTGAGGTGAAACATAACAAAAGTAATATAACTGTTTAAAAATGCTAAAGAAGATTGATGCTCCATCTCCTGCATGTTATTTCCAGACTTTAAAAAATAGTCAGTACTACAGTATATATTATCAGTCTTTAAAGCACGGGTGTCAAACTCAGTTCCTGGAGGGCCACAGCCCTGCACAGTTTAGATGCAACCCTAATTAAACACACATGATCCAGCTAATCAAGTCATTAAGGCTTATTTGAAAACTACAAGGTATGAGTGTTGGAGCAGGTTTGGAACTAAACTATGCAGGGCTGCGGCCCTCCAGGAACTGAGTTTGACACCCCTGCTTTAAAGGCTTCTTACCTCCAACAAATAAAACAGCCAGGACCACAAACTTCATCATGCTTGTATCTTCAACGTTGGCCCTCTCTTCTGGGGTTTATATACTGGCCAATTCACTTTCAGTGTAATGTATGACCACAGTTAAGCAATCGTTTGGAACGAATGTCCTTGACTGCTTTAGGAAAAACAAATAAAATAGCCCTCTTGGTGGTTCTTTGGGTACACTTTGACTTTGATAATTCAAGGCTATAATCTAATCATTTTAAAGTAATATTTACCTGTTGGTTAATATGTTGAACATTTGTTGTTTTCTCACATTTGTTTTCTCACACACACAAAAAAAAAAAACAGTTTTTTTCATAGGCCTATGTATGTGTGAACGTTCCTCTGCAATGTGGGTTTAATGCACAATTGTTGTTTAGGCTATAATCTATATAGTCTTTGTCATTGTTCATGTTTATATTTTGATAGTTATCGTAAATTTCTGAGTGCACGTTTAATTTGTTTAGCAGTATTTCCAATAATAGCTATGGTTCTAAAGTCTGACTTGGCATGTAAAGTTGTCTAGAGGAACCTGAAAAATGTGATCCCTCTCTAAATAAAACACCACACTGCCGCCCACTGGGCTGTAATGGAAATGTCATTGAGCTATAAGACCTCACAGACACTGACACAACATGATAAATGTTATGAATTTGTTATGAAATACCATAAAAAAAAAAACATTGTGTTCAAAGAATTAAATCACAAAGGACATACATGCATTTGAACTGTGTATCTATTATGTTAACCCTTCTGTTGTGTTTAAAAACTGGGTACAGCTTCTCTGTTGGGGGTCAAATTTACCCACATTGGTTTCCACCAAATTTGCTAAACATCAGCAATATGAAAAATACTAAAGATTCATGTAAGGACATAAAAACTCTAATGTAGCTTGTCAGAGACTATAAAATGTATGAAATGTAAGAATTTCCTTATATTTTCTGTTGAGTTATGGATCAATCTGACCCATATATTTTTCTTCAAAATTAGTTGCATAGACACACACACTAAAATTTTTTGTTTTGTTTTTTTGCCATGACTACTATAGTGACTATTTGCACACTTAGGTAGTGTAAATAATATCTTACAGTATTTGTATTTAGTGTAACAGTCTAAGATAACAAACAAGAAACTAACAAGCAAAAACAACCATCGACAGACTTTTTTAACTGTAAAACTCCACTAGATAAAGGAAAAGTGAATTTTCCTTGGATGATTCAGAGGATGTCTCGATTTCGAATAAACTTTGAGTTTTAAAATTCTCTTGTATTTCATATTTTAGTGTTTGACAAGCTACAATAAAAGTGTTCTGACTTTACTGTTAATTTTTTTTTGGCAAATTGCATGGAAACCAATGGGGGTCAGTGTTGACACAAAAGGTAAGTAACAATTTTTGTACAGCCTTTCCAAAACATATGTATGTGTTGAAACTTTGCATGCACATTCATGACCCTTAATGAGAAATATTTACAGAATTCCATAATTAAATAAAGTATTTTGAGTAGTTTGAAAAGCAAGTGTAAGTCAAATTGACCCCACCACAGCAGGGTTTAGTTAATACTAACATATTAGTGTTAATAAATTTACACAACTATTTTATGTTTTTTAATATTTGTATTGTTCAAGACATGGATGACAGAAAACTCCTATTTCTGTTTGCTTTTTAATAGCTGGCCATGCTCTGTAAGAGATAACAAATGGAAAATATGAGTATTAGTTTCTATAATGATAAACACTGTCCAAAAGGACATGTAGCTTAATTTGTCTGCATGTTTGCTGCCATAAAACACTTACGCTGCTGATCCAGTCAATGTATGCGCTCACACGAGTGAAAATGTTGGGCCTCTTGAGTATTAGGCAGGTATTTGGACTCATATGGGATAAAACACCATGGACTTCCCAAATACCGTTGCTACCAGCACAATTTAGGGGGCCACCATTGTCACCCTGTTTGTGTGACAAAGAGGGTCAGAGATTCATTTGTCAAAAAAAGTAAAGCAATTAACCATTACGGAATAACATAACACAAATATAATTGAAAATGGTTTACAGAGGACTCCTTTAGTGGAAATAAAACACTTATCAAACATTTTCCTTTTGAAAAACATTCAGTGTTGGCCTACTGATTAGTTCTGAAACATAAGAATATTTGTCTAATCTTCAATGTACATACTGTAAGTGCATAGTAATCAATGGCTAAGTATTAGATATCAACATACGCCACTTTCATCACGCCAATATCTCCTTACAGTACATCCAGCAACAACACCATCTCCACCAGCGCAGATCATTTTTTGTGTGACCTGAGAGCCCCACCAGTCAGACCTAGAGCAGGTGGCGTAATCCACCACACGCAGGACAGCCTGCTGCAGTGCACCAGAAATGGGACCACTGGCTAGTTAATGATATTGGAAAAAGAGGGTGAGAAGAGTTGCTCTCTAAAAAACTTTATTCACAACCATCAGCATTACTTACTGTTCTGACGTCCCCAACCAGTGACATAGCAGGGAGCATTGTGGGGCAGAACATGCCCATCCGGCGGAAGACATGCAGGGCTGATAGTGTCACTTAGGGTTACAGGAGTCTGCAGTTTGATCAGGGCGATGTCGTTACTGCGGCCCAGACACAACATAAAAACAAAGACAAGTACATTCTTTGCACACAATTTCCAAGACATGGGTCTTCCTCCCACAAGACTAATATTCATCCCATGCACTTTTCATGAGACAAATATATATTTACGTTGTGTGTTTAATTGGACTATTGAGTGTGTTTAAATTCAGATGTTCAATAAAGTGGTCAAAGATTGATTTTAGTTCATTTGGTTGAGTTTACTAGAAATGACATAACCTGTGGTTTAATAACTGAAGATGTACACAAAATTGTTGTACACATAGACAATGAACACATAATTGTTTCCAGCAATAAAAAACGTGAGCGTGGACAGTAATTGTCATGTTGTGCCTTCTCCATGACACATGCACAATAAGTTATCCAGACAAAAGTGACTGTTTCTTTGCTGTTATGAGCCTATTGTTTAATGAATATTTCTTAATTACGTTTATTTATATGTATATAAAACCTTCTCACTTGTGAAAGGATTTCTGCACCCCTGGTTAAGTTCTATTCTCTTGGTCACCATACCGTAAATTGTTAGAATTCCATCCAGGATGGATAACGATCTTGCTAATGTAGATGATGATAGATCCACTCTCTTCCTCATACATGTTATGTTTTCCCAAATGCATTCTGTAATTTAGGGAATTACTGCAGGAAAGACAAAGCAGTTCATAAACAAGTATCAACAAGTCATTGACAAAAGTACTGCGGTGGACCCAATGCTTAGTAATCGTATAAACTCATAACACCATGGTACTTTGGTATATATCATACTGTACATATTTACATGGCACGGTAAGGTACTTCAAAGAATACCATAGTATTATTTTATTTTTAAATATAGCTTCCTTTTAAGAACCCCAGCATTTACCAGCATTTTAACATCTCTAAAGTAGTTTTCCAGTAGAGAATTTCCTCTGTAAAATGATCTTTAGTCAACTCTTAAAGTGCATCAGACAAATTAAGTCACCTTATCCCACAAAGCAAAGACTTACTAGAGGCAGTGAGCAGCAGTCAAAACCCACTCTTCGGAAATGAGGGTGCCACCACAATGGTGGTACCAACTACCACCACTTCTGTACTGGAGGGAGATCTGGATGATAAAAGGATAAAGGAATCAGTTGTCTCAATTGCTTTAGTTTGCAAGTGAGCTAATAGTAACACAGTTATTGTACGCCTTTTAAAGGGGTCATATGATGCGATTTCAAGTTTTCCTTTCTCTTTGGAGTGTTACAAGCTCTTGGTGCATAAAGAAGATCTGTAAAGTTGCAAAGACTAAAGTCTCAAATCCAAAGATATATTCTTTATAAAAGTTAAGAGTCAGCCACACCTACCTAAAACGGCTCGTTCTAACACGCCCCCACATATCTACCTCACTATGTGGGAAGATTTTCCTCTGCTCACTCTAGCCCTCCGGCCATTCCTCACGCTAGCCCCCGGCTTCTGCTCACTACCCTTTAAAATAATACATGTGTATCTACCTGCCAGGGCCAGCTATGTGGACATGCGTCCTTACCCCCCATGACCCTCGACAGAACAGGAGGGTAGTTGGGCTGCCCACATCCATAAGCTGAGGTAAGAAAAGAATTGAAAAAAAAATTTATATATATATACTGTATATACATATACTTTAAAAATGAAATTCACACATACTACGATGAGCATTTTTTATATTTGTATTAAAATTAATTTTAATATTTTTTGGTTTAACCCCTTAACTGTCACGAATGCATTTTGTAATATGACACTTGACACCGCCCACTAAGGGGGAGGAGACCGCCAAAAGATATTAAAGTACCATTTCCATGGTAACGCAATGTCCGATTTCAAAATGGTTTTCACGGGATGAATTTTGGGCTTCTAAGCTTTCAAATGATATATGATTTATGATGATTACTAAAAGATTTGATAGAGAAAAAGGACAACAACAAAAAAAGAGTGCCAAAGCGTCCCACAGGTGGGAGTTAAAGGTTAAAAATCAAAGAGTCAAAGTCAAAAATATTAGGTTGATACAACTGTCTTGATAATAAAATGATTAAATGATAAACGATTATAAATGAATAAAGAATAAATGAATGTAAAAGAGAGTAAAACACAACACAAATATATGGTTGCTCTCTTGAAGCAAAACACACAGTTTGCATTTGAGGATCCTCATGATCCTTCAATAGTGAAGAAAAAACGCTTATTAAAAGAAAGAAAATTGAATTAATAGTTCATTATATTTATGAAAAATGCTTGTTACCTTGAAAAATATATTTAATACTTTTTGAAAATTATGATTAAAGTGTGTACATTCACATGTACTAAAGGTGTAAGAAAAATTTTTACTACTACTTACCTCAGCATGGTTTCAAGAAAAAAATATAAATAGTACATTTCTAAGAACTTGACACACAT